TAATTTGGAAAATTTGGCAGTTACTATTTATTCAGATATTTTTTCTATTTCTGGCATTCTGGTTGCATAGTATAATAGAGAACCTCTAATTGGTATAGTTGTACATGTGTATAACTTAGCATTTTAGATAATGTATGTCATATGAATATATGTACAGCTAATATGTGCCCCAAACACTATAGTATTAGGGATGCACATTCAAGAGTGCCTGGAGATGACGGCTTTGGAGGAAGCCCTACCATCTCAGGAACACTTCAGTGGCGTCGCTGTACACATTTCTCCTTTCTGTTAAGCAGAAAGCTGGGCATGGTGGCATATCTCTGTAATCCTTCCACTTGGGAGGCTGAGGCAGAAGGATTGCTGCAAGTTTGAGTCCTCTTGGGTTACATAGTGCATGCCAAGTCTAGTCCAGACTACACAGCAAGACCTTGTCTCAACAAACACTGCTAACAACAAAAAGCCCACAAATGTTGTGTATAAGGGCAAACTATTAGAAACTCACAAACCATTATCACCTGCCTATCAAGCACAGTGTCCTGAGTTCAATCCCCAGTTAAAAAAATAAAAAAGTAAAAAATAAAAGAATATTTAAGAAATATACAAACAAAAACAGGAAAAGTGTAACAGTTTTCATATCAGACAAGAATAGCATTTGGGTATAAAACATAGAATGTAGGAAGAGTTTATATATGCTGATTAAAGGAACATAATGAAGAAATACCATAGTGAACATTTATATACCTAATGAATTCTCAGTATATGTAAATATATGTATATCTAGTAGTAAAGCTGCAGAGAGAAATAGAAAAATCAACAATAGAAAATCTAGAGTTCTGTTCCAAGAGAACATATATTCTTTCAGAAGTAAAACATGCAAACAAAGCTTTATAAATGGGGAGGGGAGGAGAAGTTGAAGGGAGGTGGAGAAATGGGGAAAAAACATTCTGTCAGGTACAGGTACATGTTCTCTGATGAGTGTGATCGTTGTGTGTATCTAAAATGTATCAATA